AAAAATCTCAAATTAATCTCTTTAAATTTAAGCAAGTTTTAAATATTTTAAAAGTAAGTAAAAATATTTTTGAAAGACTTAACAAAAGCTTTAAAGAGTAGTTCAAATCATTTCTTAAAACAGATTTGTGAAAGAAATTATTGATATGAAGTAACAATAATTACGGAAGAAACACTCACAACAAAAATTAGGAATCCTATCCCACAAAAAAAAAAAAAAAACTAATTCGATGATTTAATCCAAAACAACCAAGACGGTCTGTACAAACATTCTCTTCACAATAAATATAGGGCATAAAAAATCTCATTGAAGCAGTGAGACACAAGCAATGCTTCCAACCGAAATGTAATATGAACATTAAAATATCCATTAAAACCAATTAAGAGTTTTAAAATCAATAATAACTTTCTAACTTTTTATTTTATACTAAATTAAATCTTCTATTTTATTTAAATTTCAATTATAAATTTTTAAATTTAATTTTTGTGTTACGTTTCATTTTCATTTCAAATCTCAACAACTTATATCAAACTAATTAATTTTATTAATTCAACTTAAATAACATTTTTGTTCATGTAAGGTTGTACGCGTACCCGTCCCCGTCCCGTTCCCATTTTTAATTTAATATCCACTTTCAGTTTAATTATATTAAAGAATTTTAATATTTTTTTATGTGTGATTACTTATTATAATATGAGATAGAGAAATAATCTAATTATAATTATAATATAATAAAAAAAATAATTTAAAAATATCATATTTTTTTTACAAAAAATAAAAAATAAAAAATTGACGGGTATGGGTACGGGTACGAGTATACCCGATACCTGAAGGGGACGGGAATGGGGATGAAAATCATATACCCGACGGGTACGGGTACGGGAACGATGATGGGTTTGACTCGCAGGGACGGGGACGGATATCATGAAACTCATACCCGACCCGCCCCGTTACCATCCCTAATAATTACTGTATATGTATGTTCGGGTAGAGGGTGTCACACCTATTCCTTTTTATGCAATACTCACAACTCACCACCATATAAAATGCAACATGTATCAACATACAAACGAATATCACCTTCAGATGCATATGGTTGGAATAATGAGTTGCATGCTATAATACTTCACTTAACTAAGATGAGAAGGAAGGTGATCAGTCTTCTTCCCTCTTAGTACTAGTTCAATATAATGATGTACAATGCATCATTCACCACACTCATGCATACACATGCCTACTTAAACACCTCAAAACAATGATATCTTGTTTCGTACTATAAAATCACTTCTATGTCCAAACAACAAATCAAAACCACATAAATATACAACATGCACAGAGGTAAGTACATTTAAAATCCACATATTCACAATCCAATCCAAATCCATATAAACAACATATACATACATACATACATACCTACACACACACACACACACACACATATATATATATATATATATATATAAAGTATATTTACCAAATAGCTCGATATTTCCATGGCATTACATGTTTTCCTCTAGAGAATAGCCCACAATAGCCTAATGACAAATGTTTGTCGTGTGAAACGTGGTTTTACAACAAGTAACTCATGCCAAATTTGCATGCATGGGGTGGAAGATAATCTACATGTACTAAGGGATCGTGCCTTTGCGAAAGAAGTTTGGCAAAAGATTCATAAAAACCATATGTGATGTGAAACAATCGATTATAAGGAAGGCGCCACAAATACGATTATTTGATAAGCCAAGAAAGATCGCCACAAGAATTGGAGAATTCTTGATAAGATCAGTTGATGCAAGGAAGAACCCTAGCAGAGCTAAAACTCACAAAAAAAATATAATCTGAATAATTTGTCCCTTCTCTCAATTCCCAAAATGTTTAATACAACTTTAGTTTGAGTTTGCCTCATTTGGAAGTAAATAAAGAAAATTAAAATACTAATATCCTAACAGAAGCTAATATGCCCAAGTGGTTTGATGAAGGCATTATAAGCTTAAGGTCTTGGGTTCAAATCTTGAAATGTAGCAGTTTATTATTTTTATTTTTTTATTTTGAAACAATGCATTTTACTTAAGCAAAGACATCAGCATATCGCATGCATGTTTATCTACCAGCAAAAATCTTCTTGCGTAGATGATTTATCTACGACTTTATTCATCAAAACCAATCACGAGTTCATGAATGTATACATTCATATTTTAACTTTGTTGCTAAGATTCTATATTCAATGTATAGTTGACTTGAATTACACTGAGGCGAATGCTATATGAAACATTAATTTATAGATCATATCACTATATATTGATTTGATCAAGCATTAATTCTACATCTTCAACTACCATCTGAGTGCAGTACTGCAAGTAAATTCACAAACAGCATTTTCCACATTGGGAACATACCCAATCTAAAAGTTAGAAAATGGGTTTTGTTAAAACTATAATGTTGGTTATCTCATCATGTGTTTTGTTAGGGCTTTCCAATGCAGGTCCAACCACTGCATATAATAATGTGGTTAACTTTGGGGCAAAAGCAGATGGAAAAAGTGACTGTACAAAAGCATTCTTAAAGGCATGGGAATCAGCATGCACTAGTCAAAGTCCTGCGACTATTTACGTGCCTAAAGGGAGGTACCTGCTAAGAAACACCAATTTCCGAGGTCCATGCAAGAGGAAGGTCACATTCCAAATAGCTGGGACTCTTGTGGCTCCTGAAGATTACAGGGCACTAGGAAATTCTGGATATTGGATTTTATTCAATCATGTGGAGAATATTGTTGTTTCTGGAGGCAAATTGGATGCTAAAGGGGCTGCTTTCTGGAATTGCAGGAGATCTGGAAAGACTTGCCCCGTTGGAGCAAGGGTATGTATATACGTGCAATATTTCCTATGCCTATGTTATTATTTTTATTTATTAATTATAAGAAACTAATTTTAATTTGAATTGCAGTCAATGACATTCAACTGGGTCAATAACTTGGTGGTTAGTGGCATAACTTCAGTGAACAGCCAGCTAGGTCACCTTGTGATCAACACTTGCAAGAATGTTGTTGTCAAAAATGTAAAGCTTATTGCACCAGACCAGAGCCCTAACACCGATGGCATTCATGTTGAACACTCAACTGGAGTTACTATTAATGGTTGTACCTTGCAAACTGGGGATGACTGCATATCCATCAGTGATGCCACCTCCAACCTCTTCATGTCCAACATTAAATGTGGCCCTGGCCATGGAGTAAGGTAATTAATTAACCACATAATCCTTATCTAACGAAATTGATCATCACTATATATAACATCTAATTAAGTGTATATCATTTGATTCACACATGCAGCATTGGAAGCTTGGGTAAAGAAATGGAGGAACAAGGAGTAGAAAATGTGACTCTAACCAACGCCATCTTCTCTGGATCTGACAATGGGGTGAGGATAAAGACTTGGGCCAGACCAAGCAAAGGGTTTGTTAGAAATGTTCGCTTCCAAAACATCATCATGGACAAAGTTGAGAATCCCATCATCATAGATCAAAATTATTGTCCCAACAATCAAGGTTGTCCAGGCCAGGTACTTTGTCTATAGGATATGAAATTTAACTAATATGCAAAATTATTATATATATTATTGGAATAACGTACAAATATGTTATGTTATATTTGCCAGACTTCAGGAATTAAAATCAGCCAAATAACATATTCAAACATAAATGGAACTTCAGCAACACCAGAGGCAGTAACATTTGATTGCAGTCCAAGTAGCCCATGTCAAGGAATCAAATTACAGGATATAAACCTAAACTACAACGACAAAGCTGCAACCTCGTCTTGTAAGAACATTGAGGGGACCAGTAGTGGAACACTTGTGCCAGAAAGTTGTCTATAACATTAATAGATTCATATATTCATTATAATATTCTTATGTACATATAAATTTATATATATAATAGATTTAGTGGGTGCGTGCACCACATTTTATGTTGTCATAATCGTATTTTTTAATGGTTTATTACATGATCATGTATATATAGTGTAGTAAAATATATTTCAATTGTGTTCTTTAATTTTGTATTTTCATATCTCTCTCCTCTCTCTCTCTCTTCATACTTTTCATAAAACTTTATAAAGATCTTTTGTAAAATCATCTTTGCTAACATATATAGCCTATAAAAATGGAATATAAGGAGTAAAAATACCTATATAATGAGATTTCCTTCTCTCCTTTTTTCTTTCAAGATGTATAATGAAAATAAAAAAGGTTCATTATTTTTGTACAATAACAATAACATTCATAAGAGAAATATAAATCAAACACATAACTAGAGTTGCAACTTTGGTAGTAGCTTTAATATTGTTACAAAACTCCTCTCGTCGTCATTTCACCATACTTTTCTTTTCTCACTAGACACTAGACTTGTTGGATTTGCAAGCTTTACAACAACTTAATTATAAAATTAAATAGCACTCGTTAGATATCTTACCATAATGGGGCTTTATTAAGGATTATTGAAGAGGCAAATAAGGAAAAAGTATAATTAATTTTGCAATGAAAAATAAAAATATCATTCATTTTAGAACATTTTCCAAATACTACAATTGTGTGGATCGGATGGGGTAATTAAATACTTTAAAGATATATAATAGGGGTTAATATTATGCATGTTATAATCAATTACTTTATAGATAAGATGTTAAAAATCTCAAAATGAGATTTTGATACTAATGATTGATAAAAACATGTATATTGTATTAATTGAATATCCATAACTGATTACTGTTACATTAACCTTACAAATATGAACAACTATGTAGAGGCTTTCAAGAAAATTATTCAGTCATTCAATATATTATGTATTATGGCATGTGGGTTAGAAGGTGTCATAATATACTTTCAGAATTGATGCGAAGGGAAAATGCTAACTGGTATCCTTAGAGCATTAATTAAGGAATCAAAAGAATTTTTTTAATTAAAAAGTATATATATATATATATATATATATATATATTCTTTCTTGTAAATTTATTGTAGTTCTTCATAACAAAAAGATTATTTATTGATTCCTTAACCAGTGTACTTGTTAGAAAGACTAGTTTGTTATTGGGTTACACGATATTAATAAAATGTGACCACCATCAAAAACGTGTTCAATCTTTGCCAAAAATCATGAGTATATAAAATGTAGACTTTTCTTTTTTAACATAATTTATTTCATATCAATATCAAGATTCGTCCTTATGCAACAAGTTCATAAAAATAAAAAAAAAGGAGTCATTCAATCTTACTCACGAGAATTATTCTTGAATAATATTATGGTGTCCCATCTTAGCTATACCTTTTTAATTTCCTGAAAGTAACCACTTAGTTGTACATGACTCCATAATATTAATACATATTTGTAAAGTTAATGTAGCATTAATAATATAGGATTTTGTAATTAATACTATATACATGTTTCATTAATCCTTTAGATTTTTTAACATATTTGGTTCAACAATTTTAATGGTCCAGATTTCATCAAACTTATTTCCTAGTCTATATAAATGAGGGTTTCTCATATTGAAATCAACACTTCTCTTTTTCTTGTTTATGCATCAAAGTAGTGTTTACTTTAGGATATTGGGTATCAAATCTAGGTTGGAGTTCCCTTCACTTCAAGTTTAAAAGTATATGACAGTAAACCTCTACTGCTAGTTCATGGATACCTCTGATTTCGTAACAAAATAAGATGTGTGTTTGAATTCAAGGGTTTGCATGAATTGGGAGATGAGGTTACCTTGATCTTTTTGTTTTGACGTGAAGGGAGCTCCACACTAACTTCTCAAATCCTTTTTTTTCTTTAAAATACAACTTTATTTTGTTTTGTTTTGTTTTAGTTGAAAAACAGTGGTACAAAAAGTTATAATGGTCAAATAGCTTATATATTTATTTATTACAAAAATAATTCAATTGAATAGGTGTAAACTAGTGTTCTATTCATTATGACTATTATTTTTTATCGTTGCAATTTGATTCATTGTTAGAGTGACAACTTGATCTTGTCAATTATTCTATTAAGGTGTAAATATTCATCATCAATCATCTTGAACAATTCTCTACCATGGTAGCATATCTAACAAATGTTATTTTATAATTAGGTTGTTATAAATCTTGCAAATCCAAGAAGTCAAGTATCTCCGCTAGTAATTGAGAAAAGAAAAGTCTCATGAAGTAATGACAAGAAGAGTTTTGCAACAATGGTGAAGTTGCAATCGACATTGCAACTCTAATATATATTTATATGTTTGATCTTCATTTTTCCTTGTGAATGCTATTGTTATTATATGGAAAAAAAATAACGAGTGTTTTATTTCTTTATGCTATACATCTTGAAAGATAAAAAAGAGAAGAAAAATATTGTTATATATTTATATGACTCTTTTTATTCCATTCCTATATGTTATAGAGATGGTTTTGCAAAAATCTTATCTTTCTTGTAAATTTATTGTAGTTCTTCATAACAAAAAGATTATTTATTGATTCCTTAACCAGTGTACTTGTTAGAAAGACTAGTTTGTTATTGGGTTACACGATATTAATAAAATGTGACCACCATCAAAAACGTGTTCAATCTTTGCCAAAAATCATGAGTATATAAAATGTAGACTTTTCTTTTTTAACATAATTTATTTCATATCAATATCAAGATTCGTCCTTATGCAACAAGTTCATAAAAATAAAAAAAAAGGAGTCATTCAATCTTACTCACGAGAATTATTCTTGAATAATATTATGGTGTCCCATCTTAGCTATACCTTTTTAATTTCCTGAAAGTAACCACTTAGTTGTACATGACTCCATAATATTAATACATATTTGTAAAGTTAATGTAGCATTAATAATATAGGATTTTGTAATTAATACTATATACATGTTTCATTAATCCTTTAGATTTTTTAACATATTTGGTTCAACAATTTTAATGGTCCAGATTTCATCAAACTTATTTCCTAGTCTATATAAATGAGGGTTTCTCATATTGAAATCAACACTTCTCTTTTTCTTGTTTATGCATCAAAGTAGTGTTTACTTTAGGATATTGGGTATCAAATCTAGGTTGGAGTTCCCTTCACTTCAAGTTTAAAAGTATATGACAGTAAACCTCTACTGCTAGTTCATGGATACCTCTGATTTCGTAACAAAATAAGATGTGTGTTTGAATTCAAGGGTTTGCATGAATTGGGAGATGAGGTTACCTTGATCTTTTTGTTTTGACGTGAAGGGAGCTCCACACTAACTTCTCAAATCCTTTTTTTTCTTTAAAATACAACTTTATTTTGTTTTGTTTTGTTTTAGTTGAAAAACAGTGGTACAAAAAGTTATAATGGTCAAATAGCTTATATATTTATTTATTACAAAAATAATTCAATTGAATAGGTGTAAACTAGTGTTCTATTCATTATGACTATTATTTTTTATCGTTGCAATTTGATTCATTGTTAGAGTGACAACTTGATCTTGTCAATTATTCTATTAAGGTGTAAATATTCATCATCAATCATCTTGAACAATTCTCTACCATGGTAGCATATCTAACAAATGTTATTTTATAATTAGGTTGTTATAAATCTTGCAAATCCAAGAAGTCAAGTATCTCCGCTAGTAATTGAGAAAAGAAAAGTCTCATGAAGTAATGACAAGAAGAGTTTTGCAACAATGGTGAAGTTGCAATCGACATTGCAACTCTAATATATATTTATATGTTTGATCTTCATTTTTCCTTGTGAATGCTATTGTTATTATATGGAAAAAAAATAACGAGTGTTTTATTTCTTTATGCTATACATCTTGAAAGATAAAAAAGAGAAGAAAAATATTGTTATATATTTATATGACTCTTTTTATTCCATTCCTATATGTTATAGAGATGGTTTTGCAAAAATCTTAATGTAATTTTATTGGAACTTTTAAATGAACTACCAATATAAACACAAATAATGTAAAAAAATTATTTTTAAACCAAATGTGTTAAGAAAATATCAAAATAGGATCTACATACCCAAAGAAAGGTGAAACAAGTATATTGTAAAGTGTAAACCACTGCGTTCAGTTTAATTAAAAGAAAATTATATGTAATTATCCTATTTATATATAAAATAAGAAACAAGTTAATCGATTAAATTAGGCACATGAAAATAACTTAATTATATCTTAATTTAAAAAAATTAATTTAATTATCTTAATAATTTTCATTTTGCTATATATTTGCACTAAATCAACTAGTGTTAATGGGAAGGAATAAAAAAGAATACTAAGAAAATAGTCATGGAAGTTATAAATTAATTCTTAACTAGGAGGCATTGTCACCTTTGCTCGAATTAATCTATATTTTCCTTTATATGATTTCTTGAGTTTTGATACTTACATGTTGACTTTTTATGATTTATGAGTTACAAATGTGAATCTTCTAAATTATGATATTTGAGACATTTGTTTTATACATGAAAGATGTTATCAAACTATGAAAGATTTTATTTACTCAAAAAGAAAAAAAAAATTATTGTTTACATTTATTGTGTATTAATGTTGGGGTAGAGGGTGTCACAAATTATCCAAAACATGAAGCCATCATCAATTTTACATATATTTCCTCAAAATCATCCAAAGATCATATTCCTAATTTTACTTCATAGGGTTTCCCACAAGAAACCACAGAACACTCTAATTCATATCAAAACTTATCTAATTATGAAATCAAATACATATTCACACTCTACATCACACAAGGAACGCAGCAGAACATTCAGAAAGCAAAACATAAGATATTCATATTTTGCATGTTTCTCATAGGGTTCTCTTAGGAACCCATAAAGCACTCTAATTCATATCAAAACATATCTATTTTTAAA